AAAAAAAAAAAAAAAAAAAAAAAAAAAGTGAAGCCCATAATAAATAATATTAAATATTTTTTTTTTGTTTGTTAATTTGAATCATAAAATTGTAATATTGAAAATAATTAATGAATTAACCAATCAATTTTTTTATTAGTAGCCAAATTCACAAAATTTATATAATTTAAACTGATTTTTTTTCATAAATTAAGGCTAAATTAAAAACTTTGTACGACATGAAAATATGAAAAGAATCCCACTTTTTCAAAAGCCTTTTTTTCTTTCTTTCTTCGAGACCCACTCTAGCCTCTTCTTTTGCCTTTGGTATCTGATACCAAAATTTAATTAAACCAAATTATATATAAATATATATTTTTTAATTTAAGAGTATTAATGATATTTTTTAAACACGACACCAAGATATTTTTATTTTTATTTTTATTTTTTATTGAAGCTTTTAAAATAATATAAAGGTGATAATATTTTGGTATATATATTTAAGCATAAAATGAAAATAGAAATATGATTTGAAACCAATTCCCAATGCAAGAAAATGGATGGTATGCATGCATGAATATGGCATCATCTTCTCCTTGTTTCAGTGACTTTTGTCAGAAAGACCTTTAAATTAATTAAACACCTCAAGTAATAATAATAATAATAATAATAATAATAATAATAAATCAAATTCCGATTGTGGTATTGTCACGTGCGAAGTCTGAGAACAAAATAAATAAATAATAAAATAATGGAGAGAAAGGTTGAATGATTTTGGGTATGGAGGACAGCTGTTGTCCTCCACCATGCCGCAGTCCTAAGCTTTGACTTCTTCAACTACTTTTCAATTTTATTTTTTTTTTCTCCTGTTTTTTAAAATATGATTTGGAATAAGTGAATATATGTCAATTATTTAAAATTGAAATGCGTAGATGAAGCAATAATAGTAATATTATTATTGTTGTTATTAAAAAAGGAAGAAGGTTAAATTACATACCTAAAATGATAAACTTTATTGGGAAATTATAATTATATATATGGTCAACAGATATTAATTTAGGGATAGAATTTGTAATGTTATTAATTAATTTATAAGAAACAAATAAATAATAGAAATAGAAAAAAAAAGAAAAAAAAAAAAAGGGAAAGGAATTAAAGTGGGCATTGGTATTTGTAAGAATGGTGGCATTTTATAACCCCAGAACTGCTCTGTTTGGGTGTCTCCATGTGACTTGAAAACAGCAACAAACACACACTGTCTCTCGCTCTATTGAGAAGCTTAGAAAATGAACCAGAGCTCCCATGGCTTCTTCTTCTTCTTCTTCTTCTCTTTTCTCTTCATTTTCCTTCTATTTTCCCAATCAGCCTCTGCCCGATTCCCAGCAGCCAAACAGGGTAAGACCCACATAAAAAAAATCCTTCCTTTTTGCTCTCTCTATATTTGATTTTCCCGGAAAATTTGCAGGTCTAGGGGAAACCCACGAGAAGCTCACCCATGGAGGGGTTCAAGCAGATTCATGGCCAGATTTCCCCCATGTAAATAAATAGCCTTAATTTAATTTATTTGTTGTTGTTCTACCAATTTTCTTGTTTGGATTTTAATGGCTTCTGATTTTGTTTTAAAGATAATTGGAGGAAGGGAGAAGGGAGAAGAAGAAGAAGAAGGATGGGAGAAGAGGAAGATGATGTTAGAAGCACACTTGGATTATGTTTACACACAGAATGTGAAGCATTGAATCAAATAGTAATTTAAAGATATGTTTTATGTACACATCCAAATACTACAGGAGTTGTTGTTTTTATCCTTTTATTATATGATATAAACTATTATTTACTTAATTATGGTTATTTTATATCCCAACTTCAAAAATTATAAATTTATTTTTTTAACATTTACAATCGGTGGATAAGACATCACTTATCAGACTCGAGACATCAATTTAGCTTTTAGACTTTTAAAATTATAGATAGTATTTGTTACTCCGATTAAAGAAATAATAATAAGTGGAAAAAAAAAAAAAAAAAAAGAATCTTAGTCAACGAAGCTACAATAATGAGGAAAAAAGGTACGAATTTTTTTGGGATAAGAGATGGGACAGAAATGATGTTGTTGGGACATAAAGAATAGCAAACAAAACAATATAGGAAAAGTAAGATTAATAAGATTTATTGTAGCTCTACTTTTCCATGTGAACGCCATGCACCAATAATCAACGATTATTATTTCCAACCCCTTAAATTAGAGATGATTATTGAAGACATTAGAACTACTTTTCATCCCTATAAATGAGTTTTGTATGTTGTTTGTAGCCGTCGATAAGAAATGAATCTAAACAATGGAATAACGGTACAAACATATCAACTTTTACCTTTGCTTCATCTAAATTCCTTCAAATTCAAAATTGAAATTCCATACTGGTTGGAGAGAAAAATGAAACATTCCTCAAAAGTGTAAAAATCCGTCTCTAATAAACACGTTTTAAAATTGTGAGGCTAAAAATGATATGTACGAATCAAAGCATACAATATCTACTAGCGGTGTGTTTGGACGGCTATATTTTCTCGCCTACATTGGAGTCAAATCACTTGTTTGTCTTCTTCTCAACGCTCTAATGGCCATCCAAACAGAAAACAATTCCGCAGTTCATGATGTTGAAGACAATTATTGCGATAAATCTGCAAATAAGTATCACAATATCTGCCATGCCAAGCTTGTCTAATCAGCCAAACAAGGTGGGGACTGGGGGCAAATGATATAGGCAACAAGAAGCAAAATCCAACGTCATTATAATCATATCCAGACCAGCAAGACAAGTGAACAACCCTTCTCAAAAGCTGAGAGAATCTTAAACAACTCTCCTTTACTGTCTAAATTACAAGGAAAAAAGAAAACGATGGTGAATCAAAACCACTTCGCTAGTATGACGATTTCGATGATACGAAGGCTTTGTTGATAGAGGCGCCAAGTGGCTAGGACTTGGAGTGCTCTGCCTCATATTTATATCAAACATATATTGATGTTAAGTGAAAATTCACTGAGAATCAAGACGGTAAAGATCTGAATGAAAAAGCTCATTGCATTGATGTATTCTCAACTATATATCTTTAGAAGAAAAACAAAAACAAAAAGGAATCTGGAAACTAGAAAATACCAGTATTAGAGCTACCACTCCCTATAATCTCTTGCTCAATCAATCTAACCACGAGCGAAGCACTCAAATCCATACTCCCTTTCCGCATTCCCATGCCAATTGCACGAGCAGGATGCACCCAGAGTAGTTCCAGTATTACGTTTTGCAGGGAAGCATCATACATCCGTTTCCTGTAGGTTGGTCATAATGCAAATAAGCTTATATTAACAACACTCAAATTTTAAATCAAGAAAATGCCTGCAACCTCAAGCGCAACATCGATACAGATTGAGCATACTTTCAGATTAACGCCAGTAGGCACAATATCATGCATCTAAAGTGTCTGCTTTATAGGTCCTAAATGTCAGTAAAAGGAGCTTTCTATGGAGGACTAAAGGAAGAAAATGATTATGATTTAGGCGTTCCATGATTAATTCAAGTAATGACGAGTAACATCCCAAATAATGGGGAAATAATACTTGATTCTACCAAACCAATTCATAGAATAGGGCTCTATCTTTTCCTTGCTTTACCAGTCCAATGCTATAGGGGGATTCAGCACAAAACATAATTTTTCTAACGTTCCAAGTCAGTCCATCGTTCAATAAAAGAACAGGAAGGGGAAAAAAAGAGTCTAGGAACAGCACATAAAAAAATCAGGGAGACCAATGAATGATAGTGAAACCAAATCAAGTCATGCAAAAGTGTAAAGATCCAGGAACATTACCTTCTTAATATCAGTTGCCAGTCCCAACTCGTGTATTGAACTTTCAGTTAAGCAACTTATGTGCACAATGGGTCCTATAGCAACTCGTTCATTTGTGCTTCCTACCTCACTACCCACTGATGGGATGGTGATATGCATTGCTCCTTTGAACATCCACTTACCCAACTCTTGACTATAAAAATCTTCAAAAAGCTCACCACATAAAACACAGGCAAATTGGTCTTCATCTGCCGGAACCATTGGCTCGTTATCTTCTTCCATCATGCTGGACTTGTCCAGAGAAGAGGCAGCGTCAAGTAGAAGTCTAGCATTTCCAGATACCCAATCAACTGAACTTGGATACCATCTTCTTGGTGCCCTACATGAATTTTTTGACTCAGTTCTTGACATGTGCCACCACAAGTGCGTATCCAACCGTTCTTCACATTTCAGTCTAAGACCGCAGATCTTACATTGAAATGGAATATCGTCAAAGAGTCCACTGATCACAGATGGATGAAATTTGCGAATAACGTGTGAACTAAACTCATAGCCTATGAGGTTGTTTATCTCAGTTGTGGCAGATGGAGGTGGAGTAGTGGAGCTCTGAGCAGCAGCTTTCGAAGGTGATTCAGGTCTTATAGATGATTGACTGGAAGAGGGAATAGGGATGGAAGGAACTGGTATAGAACAAGTCACAACATCACCCGACTTCAAATTTTCAGGCTGTGAAGGCATCTGGGATGTAACGTTACTTGCTAATTCTCCTTTAGAAGCACATATGAGGCCCTTTGCGACCAATGAGCTCAAAAGGTTAGAAATTGGACTAGAATCATCGTTTACCACATTTGAAGTTTCAGTGGATGCACTATTCATAGTAGATGAAGGAGGAAGTGGATCAGATGGCAACGGTGTGTCTTCTACCTTAATCTGAGATAACTTAACCAGCGTTGATGTGCTTTCAAGAGATGGAGGACCTAATGAAGATTCGCCCACAGTCTTTGGCTCTGAGAATGTAGACTGAGTATGGGCAGGAGAAGACTGACTTGGTAGAGGAGGGTTGACGCTTGAACGGGGTTGCATATTTCCCACATCTTGGGAGCTGAAATTCTGTTGCATGCTACTGATTATTGAATGCTTGGACAAAATTCCACTTTTCATTACAGCAGCCAACAAACTACTAGTGCTTGGCTCTCCCAAAATTTCTGCAGGTAAGAGTTCTAGAACTGTCCCAGCCGATGAGGGCGGTCCAAAATCGGTGTCCGGAATTGATACTGCATGCTGACTAGAAAGTTCCGACTGCGTGACTTCAGGTTTCAGTGACCGGTGCCTGGTTTGAGAAGCAGGTATGGATGAAGCTGAAGCTTGTAGGTCCTGAGGCTGTGGTTTTTGAAGGTTATCTGGCCGAATGTTGGGATGCAGGCCAAGGGCAGCATCCCGTATATGCCTTCTACGTGGGTCAAGATTAGGAAATGAAGTTTTATGGCTTTGTTTTTTATGAGCGACATGATCCACTAATGGTGAAGGGGGGCGCTGGTGCAAGGGTGGCTGTCCAGATGGTAATGCAACACTTTGTGATGGAAATCTTGGATGGCCTACAGTCCCAAGGGACCCTGAACCTCCTTTATTCAGAAACCCATGTCCTGAAGCTCCAATATTAGATGATGTGATCTGTGATCGTCCTCCCATTTGATCCACAGAAGAGTTAGCACCTGACATTGCGGTTAGAGTGGCACCATAACCTCCTGATTGAGCTGAATTCTTTCTAGGAACCCTGCCTCTCAGCCCATCCAGAGATATTGCCTCCTGGAACTGCCACATTGATGACCTTTGCTGTCCAGAATCCCCTAGTTCTCTCTGCTCAGATGATTGTGAATCAAAGGAAGCTTCCCTATCAACACTTGCCCCAGTATCTCGTATGCTTAATGGCTTATTGTCAGTACCCTGCATATCGAAACCACCTCAACAATCAATCATTTATGACATGGTCAATGATCCATAATTGCCCACCCTGAAAGATGCACTACAAGAGTGGAAAGTATGTAGCAAACGTTTTTTTTTTTTTTCTTTTGCTTTCTGCCAATATAACTAGTGAAGTTGTTGGTAATATAACAAGGAAAAAGTGGTCCCCATCAATTATATCCAAGCTTACCGAATTATCCGAATCCTCAGGAGTACATTGATCCTTCCCGGTGCTACTGGCGATGGCAGGTGCACCATGACCTGTCAACATAGGGTTCATTTCACCCCACATAAACTCCTCTTCCTCAGAGTTCTTCCAGTTAGTAGACAACACTCTGTTGCTGCTGCCGCTTGAAAATTTTTGCATGGGCAGTAGACGTGCACCAGTGTTTGCAGACTTGGGTGCAGGGTAATTTTCATATCCAAGCTTGTTGTTGAACCCATTTCTTTGTCCAGATAATTTCTCAGCCAAATTGTTTCCAGCTAAAGACCAAGATTTGTCTTGCCCTTCATCAACGACCCTCCTTCCAACACCTGATGTCCTTGAAAGATCAGAACCACATTCATAGTCTAGATATGCAGCGGCCACGTTCTTCTCTTGTGCCAAATCATTAGGTGCATCTCTAACTGGACGCTGAATATCCTGCAAAATTTATACCATTGGTGTTTGTAATGAGGGAAATGAAAAACTAATAAATAATGCGACTTTTTGGAGGAAAAGAAAAAAAAAACATACAAGCCCTTTAATTGGTGTATCCGCCCACGGGCGTCCAGAACTAATTTTGGCTTGGGCAACATCCTGAGTTACAGTTGTTGCGCCAGTACCATCACTAGTCATTCCTTTCACCTTCATCACGTATAAAGATTAATCACATAAGGACAAGAAAAAAGAGTAGCAAAACCATTTCACAAATTAAGATTCTTGGGTTAAAAAAAGTATAGTATAGGCAAGTACTTGGAAGATTTTCAGAAATCTATTTCTATGAAAAAGCAAAGCTTAATAGGTTATCAATTTGTGGCAACGAGAAGATTAAAG